TATAAAAACAGGGTTTGTGCTTTTATAAATTTTCTTTGTATAGAGGGGGCCCGGGGGGTAGAGCCAGAGGGTATAAATATTAGAATTTAAAATTAAGACACGCTGACTCAGCGATTTTGTTTTCTCTCCATTTATTTTTCTATAGTATAATATTACCGTTAGGTTAAATATGAATAAAAGTTGCTTAGGATTGTATTCCAGGGAAGTATAAACCCCCTGCTTTTCAACCTTACTTGCCGTCGCCTAACGCTTGAGTGAAAAATCTAAATTTTGTTTACTCGATGGCATTTTTTCAAGGGAACTTTAAAACTTCAAAATAGAAAAAATTATGAAGATTACCTGCATTTCCCTTCTAAAAGCTGTTGATACTCTCTGTTGTAGATTATCTTTAAAGAGATTTGCTGATTCAAAGGTGTAAGAGTAACATTGTGGATCAGACAGACGACTCAATTGTGGGGTCACATAAAATTATGTTTCCAGAGCTGAAAACTTTAGAATTGGATATCTTTTATCTCGATCGCTTAATTTTCATTACCCTATGTATACACTTTTGATTTTCTTCATAATCTTAATCCTCTCTTTTGGATACCATGACTGTATGAAAGTTGCGTTTGATAACAATTACAAATGCGATTCTGCAGCTGTATCAATCGGACTAATATATCCCATTGAACTAAAGTCAGGTGTTCACAAGCGGGCTTTTAGAGCGTTTAAACAAATATAAACGAATCATGTTAATATAAACTAAATATTGGAATATAAAGACCAAGCTAAACCTAAGTCTGACAACATGATTTATTTGACAACTACTGCGAAAAATAGATTTAGTGGAAAAATGTGTACTTTTCCATATTTCTGGTCATGCTTAGTAAGTCTGTAATAGTATGTACATGTTTACAAGTGTACTGATCATTGATAATGCTTAGTAAGTCTGTAATAGTACATGTTCTTAAGTATACTGATCATTGATCATGCTTAGTAAGTCTGTAATAGTTCATGTTTTTAAGTATACTGATCATTGATCATGCTTAGTAAGTCTGTAATAGTATGTACATGTTTACAAGTGTACTGATCATTGATCATGCTTAGTAAGTCTGTAATAGTACATGTTCTTAAGTATACTGATCATTGATCATGCTTAGTAAGTCTGTAATAGTATGTACATGTTTACAAGTGTACTGATCATTGATCATGCTTAGTAAGTCTGTAATAGTACATGTTTCTAAGTGTACTGATCATTGATCATGCTTAGTTAGTCTGAAATAGTTCATGTTTTTTAAGTATACTGATCATTGATCATGCTTAGTAAGTCTGAGATAATACATGTTTTTAAGTACACTGATCATTAATCATGCCTAGTAAGTCTGAAATAATACATGTTTATAAGAATACTGATCATTGATCATGCTTAGTAAGTCTGTAATAATACATGTTTTTAAGTACACTGATCATTGATCATGCTTAGTAAGTCTGTAATAGTACATGTTTATAAGTATACTGATCATTGATCATGCTTAGTAATTCTGTAATGGTACATGTTTATAAGTGTACTGATCATTGATCATGCTTAGTAAGTCTGTAATGGTACATGTTTATAAGAATACTGATCATTGATAATGTTTAGTAAGTCTGAAATAGTACATGTTTTTAAGTATACTGATCATTGATCATGCTTATTAAGTCTGTAATAGTACATGATTATAAGTAAACTGATCATTGATCATGCTTAGTAAGTCTGTAATAATAGTACATGTTTATAAGTATACTAATCTTGCTTAATAAGTCTGTAATAGTACATTTATAGTTCTATCAATAGGTCTAAAAAGGTATATACTTGTTTGACCAATTATTTAAAATCTATATCACAAATGCCTACTAATTTGTTCAATTATTATACAAAGTAAGACTAAATTGTAGGTCTATAATAATTACATAGTCATTTCACATTTGATAATGTATAAATATTGTAATTCCATACTATAGAGTATAGGTCCAATAGCACACAAATCTAAGAAAGAGGAGTAGGTCAAATAGGCCTATCAGATTAGGTACTGTAAAAAGTCTGGCCGCGCCATCAACCTTGAAACCAGACCGACTTTGAATAAGGTCGGGCCGGTACATGCCGAGGGTCACTAAGGCCGGTACAAAGGATCGGTCCTATTCAAGTTCAAATTGACCTTAGTCCACCGTGATAGGTCTATAAAAAGTATATATAAATTTGATTGAAAATGATTCTATATTAGGTCTAGAATAACTTATTCCTATTCGATCATGCAAGGTAATTCTATATTTCTTTAAGGTTTATAAAAAGTATTAACCCAGTTGATCATACATTGTAAGTCTATATTAGGCATTAAAAATATTTACCAATATAATATCATGCACTGTAATTACATATTATCAAAATGGTCTTTTTTGTATGACACCATGAAATACGAAAATCTTTATTTTGAAAATAAAAAGATTTTCTTGTGAGCAATAAAAAATCTAAAATCTTTATTTCAATGACATTTTTTTCTGACAAGGGCTGCGTCTATGCACGACCGCGTGAGCGGGTTTTATCGGTTATTAATTATATAATGTATCAACAAGGAATGCGTCTATGCACGACCGCGTGAGCGGTTTTATCGGTTGCTAAAATATATATATCAACTTATTTTAGGAGGTAGCAACCTTTCCAACACCTCTACCCGTTCCGGTCAACTTGCCACGGTCTAGCTGCGTGACAGTAGACATCTCGCGGTAGATCTTGTAACTAGATGACAGGACGGGGCGGACGGAATGGATTCAGTCTGTGATATCTCATGGTAGAAGAAGTACTGCAGTTATCTGATCTATCTCTTGCAGAAAACTAGTCTCCCTACCCAACATTGGGAGCAGGAAATAGGTACTATAGGCATCTTAACTTTATATAATATAGCATCCTTATATAAACTTCAAAATTTGCGTAAATGGTAAAATGTATCATTATTATAGCTCATGTAGGATATACAACGTTGTTCTTATAACATATTTTTGTTTGTATGCAAATATAAGGAGACTCCATTGAAATCAGTATATTTCTCGAAAAACTTTGGAAATATTCTAGAAATCAAAATCAAGAAAAATTCAGTCCCTCTTTCTATATTTCTATCTTATATCTTATATTTGCATTATAATTTTAGATTTCAAGTTTTGTTATTGATTAGCATGTGTTGGTTAATTACTTGTAGAATGTGTGGAATGGCATAGTTGGGTGTAATACGATTACACGACATAAAGATCGACTTTGATGTAAATTTTTTTAATAAATTCTAAGGAGTCTTAAAAATGTATAGATCCAAAATACGGTCTATCTTCTTCTTGGTTTATTGTGAACTTTAAATTGTTTTAGATTTGTTAGATTATGATTTTTTTATAAATTTAAATTTGGACAAATGGAAAATTCCATGATGATTGTTCTTACACGGAAAGTTGCAAATATTGTGTCCACAAAAAGTATAAATGTAGCGCACAGAAATAAAATCTTTAATGTTCGTGTTTTCTGTGATACCCTGTACAGTGTATAGTTTTGTGGTGTAAATGTACATTTTACCATAATTCCTGTCAATTCTGCTTCTTTTTTTTGCAGAGAGAGATCTTGAGTTTTACTGTTTCAAAGATTACAAAATTTTAAAAAAATTATGCAAAATTGTATATCGGCGTAACATAGAAAGCTTTACTGACTTTCTCTATCCTTTGTCTATATTCTTAATATTTTAAATTTCATTTCTTGTTTTTGTTTTGGATTGTGTTTTTCTAAATCCGTTTCTGTCCGATTTGCTGAAAAAAAGTAAAATTTGGTATAATATACAGGGTCAGTCAAAAAGAAGTGTGATTAGCGGCGCCTGGAGCAAAATTGTACCTTTTTTGTGCAACTCTCCTGTATGGTGTTTTTTTTTTCAGAATTTTTGAAAATTTAAATTTAAAAAATCCGCGAACGTTTTTTCTCTTAAAATCTAAGTTCAGAAAAGCAAAAATGTGTATATAAATTATTTCTATCGAAATTTGCAAAATTGTAATAAAATATCGCAATTTTCAGTTCTGGTCTAATTTTTAAGGAAAAGTGGTTTTTCATTGGTTCTTCAGGTTTCAACTGAACAGCGTATATTTATAATTTTGTAATATATATATTAAGAAGAAAGGAACTAGAAAATTTAAATAAGTTTCCTTAAAAATTAGACCAGAACTGAAAATTGCGAATTTTCACATTACAAGTTTGCAAATTTTTTGTGATTCAATCTTTATAAAATTTTATATTTCGATAGAAATAATTCATTTATACATTTTTACCTTTCTGAACTTTTCATTTGAGAGAAAAAAAGTTCGCGGAGTACCAAAAAAAATTAAAATATTTTCAAAAAATATTGATAAAACACCATATAAAAGAGTTGCACAAAAAAGTTACATTTTTGCACAAGGCGCCGCTAATCACACTTTTTTTTGACTCGTCCTGTAATTTCCTTAATTTTTCAATTAATTGGATTAAAAAACAAAAATTTCTGAATGAGCATATTTTCCCAAGGAAATCGTTGAAATTTTTCAAAATGCGTAGTTTCCTCTTTTACATTTTCATTTTGAAATTTGTGCAAACTAATCATCTTAAAGTTTCCTGCAAAATTTTAATCATTTTATACAATTTTGTTCTTCCTCTTTTCCGATCTAATTCATATTTTTAACTCTTTTTATTTTATTTTATTAGGTGATTTTTTTATTTCTTGTTAATCTTTATCGATCTTCCCCCCCCCCCCATCCGGCATCATCCTGAGTCGAGACGGTTTGTATATATTCATTATATCACGTTCCAACTCTTAGTCGAGATCGTCTAGAGGACATCGGAGGACGGAGAGAGAGAGAGAGAGAGAGAGAGAGATATCCTTCTTCATTGTACAGCTGTCCATCCTCAGTGTACAGTGCATAGTGTACACATGTACTTGACATTCTGGACCGGCAAGTGCAACTATGGTTTTAACATGGTAAACTAACCAATCGTGTGACTAGCATGTACAGTAATGCAAATGACGATGTGATTGTCATGTACAATAATAACATTGACACTGAAAATGTGATTGAAATCCACAACAGCACTGACAGTATTAATGTGACAACCCAGAAGCGTTGTACATTTTTCAAGTGTATTTTTCAGTATTTAAAGGCCTGGATTCTTAATCGGACTTTTGTTCATGAATGTAAGGGTATTGATAATAAATATCGATTATTTTTTTATGAATTTTTGTTTAGGTACTATGAGCTTAACCTTGCATCCTGTGAATGCATCTTTATTTATAAAACCTGAAATAACCATGCCTACCTCCCCCACCCCCCTCATGTCCCGAGTACAGAGCTTAGAAAACATCGTGGATAAATCCAGCTTGACAGAGAAATGGGTTCGCTCTGTGCTTCCCGCTACCAGGAGAATCAAGGAGATCTCAAACCTTGGAACCACATTTCCTCCTAGAGGAATTACAACCCAGTTGACCGGGATGCTTGGCTCCGGTAGAATAGAGAGACAGAATAAATGTTATTCTGAACCTGATCTAACTCCATTCTTTANGTATTAAAAACTGGTCTTTTACGCCATACCAATTCTGCGTATAAACCACAGAGTGATAGAACTAGGATGAGTTTGACTTCGCTTTATTCAGAGATTTGGAATTTTCTGGTCTATTGTTTGATTTTCATCTTATGTTTGGCCTAAATGTAAACTTCATAAAAATGTTTGATAACTGATTGAAAAATGCACATTTCTTTGTTAGTCGAATGTTATTTAATGAGACGTCAGACTTCTTGTAAATAAGAAGACAAATTTTAACCAATTTTATATTAGTATTTGCCATTACAAATTTTGGCTTTTATCCAAAGTATTACGTAGTCTAAACAAAGATTAGAAAAGGCTAAAGCTCGATTGACAACGTCCTAGCCTCTCCAACAATTGATCAAATCTTAGCGCATTTTTTTTCAACTTTGAATAGTATTTTTAAAATCCTAATTTGTTTAGATGACGAAGATGATGAGGAGAATGAAGATAGTTTTGAACTGGGAGATGTTGATGATGATCATCTGTTTGAGTTCGACATGTCTCCCTCCGGAGAAATAGATGATGGCGAGAACGAGACTGAGGAGGAAGATGATGAAATCACAAAAATTGGTTCTGATCCTCCTCAGGAACGAAGACGAGCTTATTCAGTGACCTCCGACAGTTCCGGAGGCTCCTGCTCACACCGGAAGTTGGTTGAACCGGAAGAAAACTTTAGATCCGGATTTTGTATGTTTGGAAGCACTAGCTCTGGTCTTGGTAGTGATAGAAGAGCGCTTTCTCAGGTTAGTTTATTTTTCTTGATATGTTTTCATTCAAGTTTTCTTGATATGTTTTCATTCAAGTTTTCTTGATATATTCAAGTTTTCTTGATATGTTTTCATTCAAGTTTTCTTGATATATGTTTTCATTCAAGTTTTCTTGATATGTTTTCATTCAAGTTTTCTTGATAAATGTTTTCATTCAAATTTTCAGAGACTTCAGGGACGACTGTAGGGAATTTATACGGTCTGTTTCCTGATATTCATGATTTCCTTAAACTGGGTAGAACGCAAGTCGTATAAACCGTCGAAAGCTTCCATATTATTTTTTTGCCAAATAATCATTAAAAATGTTATGTCAGACCTGAAAAATAAACCGGTTAGTGTTTATAATCTTGTTCAGCATCTAGGTTTCCTAGATATAAAGTCAAATCCTTTTTGGGGGCAGCATGGACACTTTTTCAGAAGGTCGACTGGGTTTTTGCGTAGATTTATGGAACATTAGTTAGGGGCGTGCGTGTGTGAGTCCCCATATTTGTGAGGCCTCTTTTATAATTCTGTGGAAATAATCTAGTAGATACTGGAATGGTAGATTGCATAGATACTGTAATAATAGATTGCGGAGATACTGGAATGATAGTTTTAATCAATGTACAGGGGTTTATATAATATTAGAAATGGAGGACTCTACGCAGCACTTATTTTTTTGTCAGTGTCAACATTCGATGTAGGACCTTTGATATTTCTAACTGAAATTATTTAAACTAGTAGAATTCATAGTTTAAACAATCTAAGGTCTGCGACATTGGATTGCAAAGATAAATTTAATTGAAAAGGCCAGCATCATTCAAATTTACAATTCCGTGCCAATTAGATTTGATTTATGTAAGAAAAGTTCAAAATACAAATTGCAAAATCCAGGACAGAATATGACGTTATTAACTTGCATATTGCACGTAATCTGTAAATCTGATATGTTTTCAATCCTAACTCATCTTGTTGAAGATATATTGGGAAGAACAAAGTTGTTCCGAATTTTATGTGTGTAACCAGACCAATTTGATCTTCTCATACTTTTGCTTTAACAAAAATAGATGAGCTATGGGGTGACAGAGCCGTACCTGTAATGTTAATTTTTTTTTATCGGATTTATGTTGGCTAGATACGAGATATTAACTTATTAAGGTTTAGAATTAGTATATATTGGTTTTTCATAAAACATATAATATTTTTTCCCCTCGAGTATATTTGTCAATACTTTTTTTTTATATCTGTAGCATATCATCCTCAGCTGGGGGGGGGGATGTTGAGGGTGAGCAAATCTATTTATAAACTACACCGTTTGGATGGGAATGCATGATTAAGAAAGAGAATATGCATCACTTCCGTCTAATTTGAGTTAATGAACGTCTAGCACCACCCCCCGCCCCCCCCCATATTTTCCCACTTGGATCAGTCTGCGGAATTCGTTGGTTAGTAACTTAGTTATAAGATGTTCAGTATACACTGGGGCACTCTACCCTGGTGAACTTAGGGTTAGAGGGAAAATTTACCAATGGTTTTATTTATATTGGTAGGAAGTTGCATTTAACACTCATGTTTCTTAGATTATTTATCTTCCTAATTTAGGATACCCTGGAGGATGTGGATGGAGGTAAAAGTATAAATCCTGGAGAATGGAGGGATTATATAAATGAACGTCTCTCCAATGAGGGAACCAGCACTCCTACTCCCACATCCCCGGACTCCACCCACCGGTTGTCAGAGGGGTCTGCCACGCCAATTCTAGCAGTTAGTCCTATCATAGATTCCCCTCTCATCTCACCAGACAGCTTGCTAGACGGTCAGCATCCGCTGGCGGATATGGATATGTTTATTCCCTGCCTGGAGTGCAAAGCGGAGGCTGAAGCAGAGGCGGAAGCAGAAGCGGCGGCGGAAGCAGAGGCAGTGGCGGAAGTTGAAACAGATTCTCAAGAGGTTTCTCCGTCCCAGGTTTGTGAAAATAAGACAATCTCTGTCTCTGATACTCAGGACATAGGAGAAAACGTCCTTATCCTTCCTGGACGGAAAAAACTGAGCATAGGAGAGACAGAGCTGCACAGTTTATTGAGCAGCCTGGAGAAGGATCGAGGATACCCTGGAGTTAAAGAGATAGATTCTCTAGATACTACTACAGATACAGTCGGAGATATTTCTCCACTTAAACCCTCCTCGCTGGAAGACGAGTCGTTTGAAGATCGGCCGAAACTTCGCAAATGTTCATCCCTTAGAACTGGACGTACTCCTCCTGGTACCCCTGGAAAGCGGAAAATTGTTAGGTACATTTTTTCTATATTTAAAATAAAATTTAGCAGCTTTTGTTCCTATTGAAATAGTCGTCTTTGTTTTTAAATTGAGAACAGTTACGTCTGATTATAATTCTTGTATCTGGGTGCGATGTTGAGAGCGTTAACCCTGACCCCCTTGGGCACTCAGTCATCTCCCCCCCTCCCCCTCTGGTATGCATTCTATGCAGATATATTTGACAACCCTAACTTGAAACATGTTTAAACAGTATATATCTTCAAACTTTCTAGTGAGAGGGAGGGGGGATATTATCTTGAATTCTTGTCAAACCTGTTCCTCCAGTACATATCTTCAACCATATCTTCAATAACATTTCCTAAATTGTCTTCCTTTGGTTTCCATCTAAACTTCTTATTAAAATGTTCTTTTCTCCATCTTTCTTCCAAACCTTCTAATACTGCTATTCGTCCTTCATGATCTTTCCTATCCTCTGCTCATTTTAAACACCTCCCTATCAGGTTTTATCTTTTTCAACCAACCATCCAGCACTATTCTAATATTTAACAAATCTTTACTTTGAATCCTTTGGACTTTTCTGGCTATTCCAAAAGTTTTTTTTTATAATTTAAAACCTTTTCCAATTTGGAGAAGTTGGAGCTTACTAGGGCCCACCTAAACCTTGGGTCCTTCTTGGCCCCTACCCACACTTTGGACCCCATAGGGTCCTACCCAAACCTTGAATCCCTTTAGGACCATACCCAAACCTTGGACCCCTCTAGGCCCCTTCCCAAATCTTGGACCCCTCTAGGTCCCTACCCAAATCTTGGACCCCTCTAGGTCCCTACCCAAATCTTGGACCCCTCTAGAACCCTACCCAAACCTTTGACCCCTCTAGGACCCCTTTATTCATTGNGGGGGGGGGGGGGTTGCAAGTGCACATTTGTTTATATGTCTAATATACAGGGGTATTATTGGTAGGATAACTATGGTATAATAGGGGGGGTATATTTTATATTTTGGAAACTTGGTGCACCACTTAACAGAAATCAATTTATCTTTATTAATAGCCCCTCCCCTTTGAGACTACATCCCTTGTCCTCCCTTGCACTCCCCTCCCCTGCCCCCTGTGGGTCCTTCCTTATCAGCTTTCCCCCCATTTTCACCCTGGATACTATACCCAGATTCCACGGGTTAAACGCGTGATTTTAAGTCAGAATTAAGGGATGAATATATTTTCAGAATTCTCTTAAATTGAAAGAATAAGTAATTGTCTCTGTAATGTTTTGTAACCAAATACACCCGAATCATGAAATCAATGCCAAGCACGGAATCAATATTTGTATGTTTCTCGTAAAATCTAGTTTTTTTTCTAATCTTTGTTTCTCATCTTATTTTTAAGTAGTTAAAAAGAAAATAGAACTTAAGTTTTGTTTCATGATAGAAATTAAGTTCTAGCACGAAACAGTTTTCAGAAAATAGAACTCAAGTTCTACCCTGATCAGTTTTAACTGTTGCCTCTTTTATAGATTTGCTGATATATTCGGGCTGGACCTGCAGGAGGTGAAGACCTTCACAGACGAGATCCCGAAGATCCCCCGCAAGGCGTTCCAGGATCTTGATGTCGATATTAATGATTATGATATCGGTTCCCCACGTTCCAATACTCCTATTTACAAGTACAAGCCACAATCTCTCCAGGTACATAAAGTTTTAAACATCGTCTTCATTGTACATGTACTGTACTGCCTGCATCATAACAAATGTTTAGCTTTAAACATACATATTATTAAGGTTTAAATTTAAGATTAAAAAGATATTAAATTTTAGTTTTCAAAATATCAACTTAAATTTGCTAGTCCTTACATCTTTGCAGCCTGATGTCGTGGATCTTCGATATTTCAAAATATAAACTCTGGCAATGTCTATTAACCAAAGTTTGACATATCTATCTCAGGTTTACGCCTACAGGTTACCAAGATATATATTTTCTTAGTTCTCTGTTCATATATTCAAGATAAAGATTAATTAAAATTATTATTTTTTAGATGCCAAACTCAAATTTACGGTACCGAAACTGAAAAAACAGAAATTTTTATTTGGTCAATTTACTTTGTTCACCTAATTGCGTCAATATTTTTATTTTGACTGATCAATTGCTAAGCGCAGAATTATCATGTCATATTATTATCTCTTTGCAGCCCTTTGTCAAAGACCTTTGATATGTCAAAGTTTAAATTCATGTATTTTGTCTAATATACTACATTATCCAACAAATCTGCTTGAATCCAGTTTCTTTGTCAGAACTTTGCATCAATCCATGTAACTGTTTATTGCTGCAAAATCATTGTTAAAATATTATGCCAGACATAATAAAATCCCTAATCCCTATATTTAATTTTATAGAATATATTTATTTACGCAGTGCACTGGTGACCCAATTCTAACAGTGCATTTATTGAGAAAAATGTTAACATTCCCATAAATTACAAACAAAGCATCAAAATAGATTAACCAAAGCTTTTGAAAAAAAGAGCTTAAAGGAACAAACTGTGGCAAATTTTTGAAGAACAAAAATTAGTTTATCATTATATAGAACGACTTAGGTTTACAATAAAAAAATTATGTTATAAATGAACAAACTATAATTTTAAACAATTTTTGGACAAAATAGTCGTGTGCACAGAGAACAGCTCGAGTATTTGTTTAAAGTAAATATCGAGAAACCCTCTTTTATTAAGTAGAGAATTACAAATTGTAAACCAAAGCTGAGACTTGATTTAGTATTGATCATTTTAAGTCTCAAGTATGGACAGGGGACATCCCAGAAAGTCTTGAGATGATTTGAACAGTTATTAATTTTTTATTGAACAAATTACATGAAAAAAAAATTCTTATGATATTTATGATTATTTAATGATTAATTATGCAGGGTGTTGGATCCACCAGCAGTAGCACTACAGCTCTAGTTCCGATGTTCACCCAGCCCGGGTCCTCCACCTCCTTCTACGACCTCGTGAGGGAGAAGAAGGTCTGCTTGGAGAACGCATTCATGGAGGACCCCACCACCATCTGCGGGGTCGTCAGGGTTCTCAACATCAGCTTCCACAAGTCCGTTGGCGTCCGTTGGACTAGGAATGACTGGAGCACACAGAATGACATCCAGGCGACCTATATCGACGGGTCAAGTGATGGTGTCACGGATAAGTTCTCTTTCCGGCTCCGATTGGGGTTCCTACCAGTAGGGAGCAGGGTTCAGTTTTGTCTCCGGTTTGATAGCTCCGGGAGCGAGTACTGGGATAACAACGGAGGAGCAAACTATGTTTTTCAGGTAAATTTGAATTTCAACCGACTTGAGACCAAAACTTTTGAATTTTGAATCTGTAAAAAAACGCAACAACAGAGTTTTATTTCAGATCGCGGGACACAGCTAATCCTTTCTAATTATTTCTTAATTTGCTCTGGGAGATTTTTTTCTTTTTTATTAAACTCAAGATCTTTCATTTAAAAGTTTGTGCTGTTGATGTTGTGTTCAGTAGATTTAGCTCAGCGCTATCCACACTAAAGGTCGTCGTCAGTTTATGTATATATTTTTTTAGACTTCAATTTCTCGGAAAGATTTATTATTTAAAATATTAATATTTCACCAGTGAAATCTGATAAACATCAGCTGTCAACTCTTTACTAAGTAAAACAAGGGTTGTATAAAAAATGCGCAATGTTTACATTTAGTAAACTTTTTTATCGGCGACCATATTGTGTTACTAGAAAATCCAGATAAGATTTAAAGATACCTAGCAAGATTATTTTCTGTTTCTTGTTTCCTCACATGATTTAGAAAGTCACAAGCTTGTGTTGATCAACTTTTTCTGCGGTCGAAATACTTTTGCGTAATTAGTTCAACTATTTGAGAAAATTTCTTCCAAAAAGGTTACTTTGACAGGACTTAAAGGGACTTGAAACGTAAATTCAATTGACGCTCCAGGCTTAGATGGCAGTTGTCCGATTTGCATCGCTACATAAACCTTTGTTTGTGCGAAAATGGCAAAGCCATCAATGTTTCTCTATTTGAAATTTGATTATTTTATTTGTGGTTTCTCTTCAAAAAAACTTGCAGATTTCTGCTTACAGAAAAGATGTATTCGATTGTTAGAATTATAATCTCTTTTCAATCTAGAAAATCACGATATCTTCTACATTATTTATTAGATAAAGAATTAAAGGTACAAGTGAATGGGAAGATTCACTTCTTTATATGGCTAGTCAGTCCTTTAAGTTCGGATGCAAAAAAGCTAAAGTTTGTTGTTCATTGATTTTATCACTCTCAAGAATTTTGTTTTCTGATGATTTATTTGAATTGAACTAACGCAGAAGGGTCTGAAATAGATGATTTCCAGTAATATAACTCACTTCTAAATTTTTATGAATTTTGTTGCTAGATAAGTCCGATTGTTATTGTTACCCAGAATTCTACATCTGGCCAAAATTCGTAGAAAAATTTTAATCTCCGTTCAATGTCATTCGTAGTTGAAGCTTAAATGCTGCAAGGGGTTTAGGAAAACAATGTATACGTGCTAAATGTGATGCGACCGATATTACAGAGTGTAAAACCAAGATTTGGCGGATTTTGATTTCTCCGGACTGGAGTAAAAGCTTGATGGAGTTATAAACGTCAAATTGAAAGCTAATATTATGTTTGTTCAGGTGTTTTTAAACTCTAACTCCCCTGGAGGAACAGGAGGTGTCTCCTACAGGAGTAGTCCTCTTAATATGTCCAGGAACACTTCTAACTCCTCAGTATCGTCCTTCCACTCCCTCCAGTCTCCCTCACAACACGGAGACGATCCTTGGCTCAGGTACATGTAAAGTACATGCTAGCTCAGGATGTACCCGTATTACAGCTCAGGATGTACCCGGATCCTAGCTCAGGATGCACCTGTATCCTAGCTCAGGATGTACCCGGATCCAATCTCAGGATGCACCCGGATTACAGCTCAGCGTGTAAAACAGTCCCCCACAGATTGTACACAAACTACGCATGGAGATCTGAAGAGATCTCCTGGAACAGTCCAGAAAATTGAACGGAACTTTTGATCAATTAAATTTCGATAGATCCTGGTTTGTGATTTTTATTAATACACAAGAGATAACCATCGGTCAGAACTAGGCATTTATACTAATGCAAGCTATAGTGTTGGTGCTAGTGCTATATGTTTTTATAGATACATAACTATTATAAATTATTTATATAAAAACCATGTGCCATATATTGAAGATGTATTGAATGATGAAAAAAAAGTTTTTAACCAAGATTTTTAAACTGAAATACGCTCATTGAAATTTTATGGTTTTGCTTCAAGTCGTTAGTTCTCTTTAGCAATAATATGTGTGTGGGGGGGGGGGGGGGTTTTTTTTTTTGGTTTGTTTATATGTCTAATGGGGTCGTAAATATGAATATTTATTTTTCGTATATTATAAGATTTTGTCCCCTCATCAAAGTCTTTATAGAAAATATTGTATTTAACATTGTCAGGGATAGAGATAGCTTAATTATGGATTTTCATCCAGAAATTAAGCATTTCATCCAAAAATTGGATAATTCAGACTGATCTACTATTTAATTTTTGACTAAATGAACCGTTTACTATGGATTTTGGGTGAACATTTTTAATCTAAAATAAAATTTTGACTTACCAATATGTTCCTCCAGGTTCCTATATAGTATATATATATAAATATTATTTGATATATTCGCATTTGCAAGATTAATATCCAATCTGTAATTCTGAATATTACCGAGGTTGGTTATGAAGACATATCTTGATGTTTACACAAAGATGCTGGTGGTCAGATCTTGCATGATCTGATCTTGGGTTGTGATGATAGTTTTAGGATATAAACAAGATGTATTTATTTCAACTCGAGTCCTGATATTTATGATTCGTGCTAAATATATGATAATTCTTACAGTAATCATAGATTCTTAATTGAGAGAACCAAGATTTTAAAGGGAGTGTATGAGGGTTGAACTGAGAATGTAGTATTGTGCTAGTAAAAGTTAAAAGTGATCGAGTTTTTGTCTCGTCAATTACTTATCCCAATATATCCTCTACATCATTGGGTTGCAAAGATATGGGTATTAGAAAATCCAAGTTTGTGGCGAAAACTCAATTTCCTTAAGAGAATGTCATTATAGCTGTAATAATTTTCGAGACATTTGAACATTTTATAAAGATCTAATCATCTGAAATAGTTGTAAATTGTAGTGCAAAAAACTAGGCTTATAGGGCGATTCATACCCATCTTTTATTTCAATTGTAAACATTTTCTCTTTGAATACATAATACAAAAACAGCAAAAAATTTCGCGGAATTAAATAAAAAATCGTAGATTTTCAAAAATCGAATTTTGTTAGAGGTACATTTTTAAAAATTCGATAATCCATAAACCTTCCCTGGAGTCATGTAAGGTCCCACAAAAAATTTTGGGCCCCATCGGTTTAGCCGTTTTGACGATACAAAGAAACAAACATACAGACTCCCAAGACAAGAAAAGTATAGATGTAAATGTGTACTGTGTATTTCTGCAGATCAAAATCTTGAATTTAACTTGAAAAATATGTTGTTGTGTACTGTGTATTTCTGAATTTCTGCAGATTAAAATCTTGAATTTAACTTGAAAAATCTGTTGTTGTGTACTGTGTATTTCTGCAGATCAAAATCTTGAATTTAACTTGAAAAATCTGTTGTTGTGTACTGTGTATTTCTGCAGATCAAAATCTTGAATTTAACTTGAAAAATCTGTTGTATCTCACTCAAATCTGAGAGTTTAACAGTTACTAAAATGTTTTCTTCTCCAGTTAAGGCAAAGGAAGCTTAAAATAGGTTTTATTTTGATAATATTTGTAGCAAAAGAGAAAATATACAAATAATTTGTAAATTTTGTGTGTAAAGAAAAATGCTCAAGATCACATAGTTTTTAGATATTATATGGAGTGGATCGACGTTAATAGGGAAAAAAAGCTAAAGAAATTTACACCAATCGCGGGTAAACAGCGGGAGTAATGCAGGTAAAAAAAATTTCCATAACATAATGTGTACTGCAATTTCTGGAAGTAATGTAAACAAAGCTTAGCCTGAGTGTGTTTATATTCCCCCCATACTGCACTGCAGTACACGGTGTGGGATTTCCAGGTACAGGGTCAGAACTTACCCACAAAGGATGAGACTTCAGAGTCCATTTCCTTGAATTGAGAGTTCCTTGTTGTCCAAATCTAGATTATTTCTGTTAATCATTCAATAAACCATTAAAATACACCATTGAATGCAGAAATCAAAAATCAAGATTAAAATCTTCATATTTTTGAGTTTTGGGTCATCTTTACAGTCTCATCCTTTGTGGGTAACCCTGTAAATTCCTTGTTCGAGATTATGTTCTATAAGTCAGGTTTCCCTGATCCTGAGTCTCATGTCTGTAAACGTGAGATTGTATTACAGGCCGCAGCCTCAGTCTCTCAGACAGAAAAACTTACAAGTGGAGCCATATAATTTAACCGGGCATACTGTTACTAGGCTCAACCCTGTGCACTCACACGTGTCAGTTTTAAAGGGAATGACCGGCCGAGGCGAAATAGGGCATTTGTGTATGGGGGCACATTTTGCGCGGTAATAGAAGTTGGACTGAAAATGCATTATTGTGGACATTTTGTTTAAGGAATCAGTTGAGACCAATTATACGTTTTAAACGGTGTATATTTGTTCAACAAGAGTGAAAATTCAATCTTTAAAATCATCATAGATTGTTCACTTTTGATGACTTTAAGAATCTGTTTTTAAAAAGTTATTCAATGACGACCACGGAAATGTAGTAAAAATTTTACAGTAAACTTATTGTTTAGGAGAAGGTTGATAAAATAAAAATTTACTATTATCACGAAAATAAGTAATCTTATTCAGTTATTGGTTTCTGTAATGTCTCATTGTTCACCCATGATTTTGGCCCATGATTCTCTCAACGGAAGGATGTTCAGTTACTTTACGTCCCTTGGGACAATTAATTAAAATTAAGAACCACTGGGAAGTTTTCTTTAAATTCTCTAAGGCCAATAAAATTGTGTACAGTACTGTATCGGGATTTTCAAGATTTACTTAACCACGGGTTCCCTCGACCAATTTTGCCTACAAAACATCCCTCGCTACTCTTTGTCTGCTTTGTAAGCAAAATTGGTCTTGGGAACCCTTGGTAAAATAAAATTCCCTTAACTTTCTTGTAAAATAGTTGTAAATAATAAATAAAATATAATTACGGTATTTAAAACCTTGTATTGCAATATCTATTGATGGGCAAAAATAGATTTTTCTCAACTCAATTATTATCTGTTATTAATACAAAAAACCAGTACTTTCAAACTTATTTTTGAGTTTAATCTGGTTACAATTATATGTTACATGTATTGTATAGTACTGCAATATCTAACATTTATGTGTAATGGTATTAACACTTTTTATCTTCTACTCGTTCTACTGCTATTACTCGGCCTAGAAACAAGGCATGGTTAAGGCTTCGGTTAGTAACCATGGGTAGTAATATAAACCCACATTTTAATGCACTGAAAATGGAATAACAAAAAGTGCAATTAAAACCATTGCATTAAGTGATTCTCACAAAATTGCAGAAAAAGAAATTGACTTTCAAGCTCAAAATATGATCGTAAATGAAACATTGCATAAAGTGATTCTCACAAAATTGCAGAAAAAGAAATTGACTTTCAAACTCAAAATATGATCGTAAATGAAACACAGACTTTTACAATACTAGGCTTTTAGGGCGCTTCGCGCCCATCTTCTATTTAAATTGCGAACATATGTTCTTTTTGTTTACATTTTAAAACAAAGAAGAAGAATATTTTGCGGATTTTAAAAAAAATCGCGGATTTTCAAGAATTTTAATTTTCACAAATTAAAAACCTTTAAAACACATTTTTTTAAAAATTTTTATCATTCATAAACCATCCCTGTGGTCACGTGATGTCCCACAAAAAATTTGTGCCCGATCGGTTCAGCCGTTTTGACGTTTATTGGATACAAACAAAACAGACAGACAAGCCAAATTTATATATAGATGCTCAGAGACCCATTTTAATTATTAATTTTACTTAAAACCTATTTTTCTCTATAAACATCATCAAATCTTTTTATTTCTGTTGAGAAAATATTGAACCGTTGTTGAACTTCTAATAGACAACTAAATAAATTAGTTTTTACAAAAGATGACAGTTTTCCGCAATATTAAACTTTTAGAAATTTTTTATTTTGTCCGGAATTTAAAACTTTTAATAATTTTTACTCTTTTGTTGTTTTGTGAAATAAACAACATGGACAAGGAAAACTAATGTTCAACACAAATTATTTTCATAAATTTTTTTCTTGAAAAATGCTCCAGAAAAAGACGTGAATTTTCAATAGTTTTAAGCAGTTTAAAGTTTCGACGGGTAAAACCGGTTTAATATGAATTTTGCATGATATTCTACAGCTAACACAAACCTTACAATATAAATCCATCAAGCGGATACAATATTCTACAGCTAACACAAACCTTACAATATAAACCCGTCAAGCGGATACAATATTCTACAGATGTAAGATCTGTAGATCTTTATAAACTAATGTGTGTTCACCCTGTTCAAAGTCGAGAAGTTCTCCAGCTTGTCCTACAGAGAACCCCAATCTTCAAGCAACTAATCCTACAAATCTCTACAAATACATTGAATCTACCATTATCTATCTTACCATTCTAACTACCAATCTAAGATTTAATGTAAACCTTTTCTAAAGCCTATTTTATATTCTTGAAATTGAGTCTGATTTTCTATTTTCGCACATGTCTTTAAACAGAACTGTAAAATATTTATATTTATAAAATATGTATAGATTTGTGATAATTGTAATTCTTCCCTCAAAAGTTCCGTGCATGCCTCCACGCAATGAACCAGGTAATTAATTATGAACACTAAAAGTTGAGCTTAAAAATTATCCTGAATTCTCACAACCACTTCAACAACTCTTATGCTAGGCTGGCTTTGAGTTCCTGTTGATCTAGAGCTTTAACCTCTCCGCTGACTTGCAGAGCTAAACCTATCCGCATTCTTGGTCTCTGGGATGAAGATGCTCTACTCTCCTCTCACCTACTAATCTTGACACCCTGTGCCTTGGGTAGTTCATGAATTCTCTACGTATACAAGACTCCAGTCTCAACGGAGTTCGAGTGTTCCTCTATCTTTGGTCGCTTGGTGAGTTCTCTACATACAAGACTCCAATCTCAACGGAGTCCGAGTGTTCCTGTGTTCATGTGGATACAATGTTCTACAGAGCTAACACAAACCTTACAGTATAAACCCGTCAAGCGGATACAATATTCTACAGAGCTATAACACCAACCTTACCATACCCGTCAAGCGGATACAATATTCTACAGAGCTATAACACCAACCTTACCATATAAACCCGTCAAGCGGATACAATATTCTACAGAGCTATAACACCAACCTTACCATAAAAACCCGTCAAGCGGATACAATATTCTACAGAGCTATCACTAACCTTACAATATAAACCCGTCAAGCGGATACAATATTCTACAGAGCTAACACCAACCTTACAATATAAACCGGTCAAGTGGTTACAATATTCTACAGAGCTAACACAAACCTCTTACAATTTAAACCCGTCAAGCGGATACAATATTCTACAGAGCTAACACAAACCTTGCAATATAAATCCATCAAGCGGATACAATATTCTACAGAACTAACACCAACCTTACAATATAAATCCATCAAGCGGATACAATATTCTACAGAGCTAACACCAACCTTAACATATTAACCAGTCAAGCAGATACAATATTCTACAGAGCTAACACCAACCTTACAATATAAATCAGTCAAGTGGATACAATATTCTACAGAGCTAACA